TCCCCCTCCTCCTCCTCCTACTCCTCCTCCTCTCTTCTATCTCTTCCTGGGCTCCTCATGGGCTGAATCCCCACAACCAGAGGCATAAGAGAAATCTGGTTGTGCAGTCTGAGGACAGGGCTTGGACGCTGTCCTTAATTTTCCTTTGGGGTATCACCTTGACCCAACTCTAAATCTGTGGGATCTTCCTTTCAAAAAAGAACCTGCTGTTCAGCAGCACAGAGTGTGGGGAGCTGATGGCCCTCAGATGCAGGGTCTTGGGGCTGCCCCAGCCTGGGAGGCTGCCATGCTCTTTCCAGCCTCCAGTTGAACCCAGCAGGGTAGGGAGCCTGGCCTCCCAGCCTCGGTGCTCTTTTTGCAGCCATCTCAGCTCCACTTGCCTCTCTGTCCACTTCCTCTCAACATTCCCTGGGTGGCACAGCTCACTTTTTGGGTCTCAACCCAGATGCCACCTCCTCCAGGAAGCCTTCTTGGGCAGATCACTTGCCCAAAGGTTTCACTCTTGGGTTGTCTTCTTTCTGGCAGCAACAATGGTCTCAGAACAATCCTACTACTTCATCTCTTCCTTCTTTATTGACTCTGGCCTTCAAATTATCAACTGCGTCCCCAAGGCCCATAGAAGAGAGTTATCAGTAAGTGCTGGTTGGCTAACTACATGGTTGATACATGAATGATCCTTCACATGTGGGGAGTTGGAGGGGCACAGCAACCAGAGAAGGGATGGCAGGCTGGTCCCAGGGCAGAAGGAGCCAGCGAAGCCCTGGAGACTCTGACCTGGGCTGTGGAGGGGATCACTTTGGTCAATGACAACTGCATCCTAGATCTTCCTTTTCCTGCACACGGAGTCAACATGGGACTGACAGCATTAGATTTCCAGGAGTCTAAGGACAGCATCATCCTTGTGTAGCCCACAGCAGAAGAAGTTTAGGCTCAGCCCCAGGTGGAATTTCCCAACAGGGTAGAGGAGTAATGAGTTCAAAAAGGGTCTGCAAGGTAGGCTGAGTCACGTGCTTCCCTAGGGGGCACGAGGAAGGTAGAGGACCGGCCAAGCCCTTGTTTGACCTTGTTTGAACCGTTTGTGTGGACTCTAGGCTGGGCCAGGAGGGCCTCGTGGGCTTTCACTTCCTTCCTTGCTACCCTGCCTCACCCACCCGCTTCCCACCTCCTGCTGGATAATTCAGTCCCTAGGGCCTGCCCTGCCCATGCTCCTTGTTCCTCCCACTGAGCTCCTAGCCACAGCCTTAGTCTTTGGATTACACGTGTGCCTCAACATGCCCAGCACAGCCTCTGTCTTGCTCCTGAACAAGATGGACTTCTGTTGGCTGTAGAGGGTAGTAGTTTTGCCATACTCCAAAGTTCTACTTTCAACAGTAACCAAAAGACACATCATTATGCCAGCCAGCTCCAAGCTCTTGAAATATATAGATCCCCAGAACTTCAGAGAGATCCCTCCACCCATGTAACCTGAAGGGACAGAAGCCCTGAAATTGTGGATGAGGGGAAAGAGGCTGAGGAGACAGCTTATGGAGGAAGGAGCACCCTCCCATGCAGCTGAGTCAGCAAAGGGGCAGCTGTCCTGTGGTCCTTAAATAGTCCAGCCCAGGTGTTTACAGGGTGAGGGGCAAGCCTGACAGCTACCGCCCAGCCCCAATTATGTAATGCTGGGGCCAGGGTGCCCCTTCAGCCCAGTGGGCTCATTCGCAAAACAACATCAGAGCCGCCGTGCTCAGCCCCGCCCGCCCGG